TCCATCCATCCATCCATCCATCCATCCATCCATCCATCCATCCATCCATCCATCCATCCATCCATCCATTATCTTTACCCACTTTTTCCTTTTTTGGGTTACAGGGGTCACTGGTGCCCATGTCCAGTATCACTGTGCGAGGGGTGGGGTACACCCTGGACAGGTCTCCAGTCCATCACAGGGCCACATAGAGACAATCGAGACAAACAACGATTCACTCTCTCACTCACACCTAGGGACAATTTAGAGTTACCATTCAGACTAACATGTATGTATTTGGTCTGTGGGAGGAAACCCACTCATACACGGAGAGAACATGCAAACTTCACCCAAGCAGTTTAAAGGACAACAAAGATTTACACACACGCAAACTCTGCGGTTAGTTTCACAATCATCAGTAGCACAGCTGGAGACCCAACAACACAACTGAAGTTTCCTGAGAAAGATCCTGATCTTTAGGGGAACATACACTATCCATCCATTATTTTTTATTTGCTTCTTCCTTTTTGGGTCACGGGGGTCACTGGTGCCCCAGCCATCACTGTGCAAGAGGCGGGGGACATCCTGGACAGGTCTCCAGTTCATCACAAGGTAACACAAACTAAACAATCAGAAAAAATTATCCTCTGAGGAACGTGGTCCATCTTCAGGGGAATATGGTCCATTCTCAGGGGGACATGGTCCATCCTCAGGGGATCATGGTCCACCTTTAGGGGATCACGATCTATCCTCTGAGGAACATGATCCATCCTCAGGAAATCATGGTCCATCTTCAGGGGAACATGGTCCATCCTCAGAGGAATGCAGTCCATCCCCTAAAAAACACGGTCCACCCTCAGGGGAAAGTGGTTCCTCCTCTGTGGATAATGGTTCCTCCTCAGGGGAATGTGGTCCATTCTCTGAGGAACATGGTTCATACTCAGCATGTCTTGGTTCATCCTCAGGGGAACGTGGTCTATCCAAAGAGGAACGCAATTCCTCCTTAGAGGATCACGGTTCCTCCTCAGTAGATCATGGTTCATCCTCAGGGGAACGTGGTCTATCCAAGGGGGAACATGGTTCAACCTCTGAGGATCATGGTCCATTCTCAGAGGATCATGGTCCATCCTCAGTGGAAAGTGATTCCTCATCAGGGGATCATGGTCTGTCCTC